CTCTCGGAGGACCCACGGGGGCCGTCAGTTCTGACCGCCTCTCCTTTGCTCTAACGGGCCTCTACACACTATGACAGGTGAGACCGCCCAGGCCTCCCAAATGGGGTTGGGGGAGCAAGAAGTGGGGGCTCCCCTACGCTCTCAGGAAGGGTCAGAAGCATCTGAAGGCTGTGAGAGTTCAGCCTTCAAGGCTACTAATACTGGACAGTACTTGCTGGCCTGGTCAAGCAGGACAATCTGGACAACGCCCAGAATGCAGCCCCTGGCCTCCCGAGACCAAAGCAAAGCTCCCCGGCACCTCCAACACCACCCCCTGCCTCCTCTTGGGGAACGAGAGGAAGCCAAGGCTCTGCTCAGCTCTGGAGTTCCTCCGGAAGACTTCACCCCGAGGAAGACTCAGAGGGAACAGCCCCGGCCTGGGCACACTGCACCCCTCCCCCACCCTACCCACAGAGGCCAGACGCGGGAGGGCCCAACAGAGCCAGGTCAGACTGCTGACCCGAAGAGAAAAAAAACCAATAGCCCAGGGGGTGGCAAGAGGGAAGGGTCAGCGCATCCCGCTGATGCGTGGCCTGGGACGCCTCCTCACGCACCAGCCACTTCCAGTGTTTCCACCCATACGATGCTGGCGGTGCCTGTGGCGCAGGGCCCCTGGAGACCCAGCCAGGGGTTCAGAATGTGGGGGCCCCACCGCCGAAGGTCGCTATGCCAAGACCAATGGAATCCAGGGATTTGCAACGTTGCTTTGGATTCCTTGGCGAGCCTCCTCTGCGTGGGCCCTGACAGCCCCCCTCCTGCAGCCCCAGCCGTGTGGCCTGGCCTCCTGCATCCCCAGACGTGTGACCTGGAGAGGGCCACTTAGCCCCTCTGCACCTCCATTCGGTGCTCAGGGACTGAGACAAAGTGAATTCTGATGAATTCCGATGGGCACTGAGTGACTGTTCACACGGCCGCGTGCAGGACTAGGGACAGGAGGCAATGGCAGGATCCGATCGAGAGGGCACCCAGGCCAAGGGCGGGCCCTGGGAGAGTGAGGGGCCGCCCCGACTGGGTCCCTCCTGGGTCTCCACTTTCATAAACCCTCGCCGTGCAGGGACAGGTAGGTAAGGGAGGGCGGGTCCATGGGCGGCCTCCAGGGACTTACTCCCGCAGCACACAGCTGGCCCCCAGGAAGTGCCCCAGGCGCGCTGACTGGCCCAGCCTCTTCCTCGTCCCCAACCCTGGGGCCCTCCCGCTATTCCTTCCCCAGCAGCCTCTCTGCTGGAGTTTAGGGAATGGACTATCTCGCCAAGGCGGACTTGACCCATTGTGGGCTGTGGCGTTTGTATAGTTACGTGCACGGAGGTGCATGCCTGCTCGTGCGTACAGGATCCAGCAGTCTCCAGTCTTCCCCGGGCCGATTTCCCCACGCTCCCTGCCCGTACCACCTTGGCCTTGAACGGCAACCACCGGCAGCTACAGCAGACTCCCCATGTCCCGGGCACCAAGTGCTTTGTCTGTGAGGGTATGATCTCAGAAGGTAGGTAGCACCGTTGTTGCCACGGCATGGCAGATGGGGAAATCAAGGCACACGGAAGTTACGTGGCTTCCTCGAGATCGGACAGCTAATGAACCGCAGAGGCAGGTCCCAACCCAGGCAGCCTGGAGGTGGAGAGCCTGCAGCCCTTGGGTGGGTGGGCCCACCCTTCCAGCCCCCACCCCAACATGGGGCCCGCGGCTGAAGTGGGACAGCCGCAAGCAGGGAGGGCGGGAGCAACCGTTCTGGACGCGCGGAAGCACAGCTGCAAGCGGCCAGCCTGTGCAGACGTGCCCGGGAAAGAGCCACGCAGACGCGCCAGCCCGGCCTGTCCGCGGAGAGGCTGACGCTCAGGGCAGAGCGGGCCGCCTCCCAGGCCACAGGGTGCCAGGCTCTGCAGGGGCGGCCGGAGCCGCAGGGCTGGAGAAGAGCCCCCCGTGCCCACAGCCTGGAGAGGACATACACACAGACAACAGTTGTCTGCAGGAACACCGCCTTTAAATAGAAAAGAGCCGGAAATACACCCTGAGCTCACGGGCTCTCTCTCGCTCTCCCTCTCACACGCGCGCGCGCACACACACACACACACACACACACACACACACACACACGCCACACCACGGGAGGGCCAGCACAGGGACTGAACAAACGCCTCAGCTGTGTTGGTGGCACGGAGAGGAAACCTAGTGCCCTGGCAGCTCCTGGCTTTCTGTTCCTATTTAAAATGTCTGAATTGGGAGCATCAACAAGCTCCCAAATTAGCTTTTTAAATAGAAGCTGAGAGTTAAAGGAAAAGCGGCCGTGTCATGGGGGAAAAGCGAGTGAAAATCCCGGCCAGGCCAGGCCAGAGGCAGAGAGGGGGAAGGCGAGGCCAGGCAGTGCTGGCAAGAGGCAGTGGGGCCAGGCGGGGAGGGGGCCTGCGGTGGGGGGGGAGGGACTCGCCTCCCTCTGAGGGCCCCTCCAGCTGCCTGGTCAGGGGCCTCCTTTCTGTTCACCACTTGCTCTCTCTCATTTTCCAGGCCACCCGCCTGGTTGTGAGCAAGGCTGGTAAATAAAACCCACACTGGCCCAGAGTAGAAATTCAAGTCTTCCGTAGTTTCCTCCGGACATTCTCAGCAGAAGGGAGAACACAGCCTACAGCTCTTTTGCTGAAACGTTGAGACGAAAGCCCAGGGGGAACGGGGCCGGCTGTGTGTGGGGAGGGTGCGTGTCCAGATCGGTGCCCTGTCTGCCAGCAGGGCCACCAGTCTCGGGGCAGCAATGTCCGCCAGCTGACCTCTGGAGGAGAAAGGGTGTTCTCCACTAACTGCTCCCCAAAGCCCCCAGGCTTTGGGGTTACCCAGCTTGCTGAGCACCCCCAGATGCAACACAAAGACGGGAAAGTACAGGAGTTCAAACCCGGGCAGAAATAAAACACTGGGTCTCAACTCTCCCACGTTGGACCTGGGGGTGGAGGACTGAAGGCCCCTCCTGCACCTGCCCACCCAGCGCCTGAGGGCTCCCAGGGGTCCCAGCCGCTGAGCTGGGCGGTGGGCAGTCCAGTCGTGAGAAAATTAACTCTTCCCCAGAGGGAAGGGAGCGGGGAGGTGGGAGCCGAGCCAGGGCCTTCCCTGAATTCTTCCCCTGTCTGCCAGGGAGTGGCAGTGTTGTTAATCATTATTACTGTATGCAAATCAGTATGCAAATCCCACACGGCTCCAGGACTCCAGGCAAATGCTAATACAACCCACGCCCACCTCTTGAAGGGCCAATTGTGCACCTCTCAGACTGACACGCGGGGGGAGGGGGCCTTGGGGAGGGTGGGAGGAGTGAATGAGAAAGGGGCTCCTAGCTCCCACGGGCCACGGGGGCCTAGACCTCAACGACCTGCCCCATCCCTTCGTCGCGAACAGGGCGAGGGCTTCTCCCAAGCCAGGGGCCCTGCTCTGCACCCGAGAGGCCCTTGCCAGCCCCTGCCCGCGCGCGCGCTGCCGTTTCGAGCACACCCTCCCCTCCACCGCACACTTCAGTCTTCGCTCGGCCTCTCCCAGGCACCCACCTCTCCGCACCCAGAACGGGGATCGCTCCAGCCCTTCGGGTCGGTCCCTGCGGCCCAGCGCCAGGCCGAGATCCCGGATTCAGGGCATCGGCGCCGGAAACGGGAAAATGTAGAGCCGCGGGTCCGCACGGTTGGCGAGGACCGAATCCTCCGCGCGCCGCCGGCGCGGGTGTAGGAGCCTGGACCGTGCACCACTCTTCCGAGAGGCGCGGGGCTCCGGCCGCGGGGCCCTGTGGCACGTGCGGCCCGCCCGCTCGCCCGCCGTCCTGGGCCGAGGCACCAGGCAGTGGGGATCCCTGGGCTTCGGGGACCGCCCGAAGGCCTGGGCAGGCCCGGGCGGAGAGTTCCCATTCCCGAGACCAGACTTGAATCTGGGTCCTGGTACACGTGGCAGGACGGGAGGGCGAATCCCTGCCTTCAGGCGGTGGCCCTCGCGCTCTGGGAGGAGAGCGGCCCTCACGTGGGGTAAGGACAGAATGTTTCCCACACACCCGCCCCCCCGACCCGTCCAGTCCCGCAGCCCGGGCCGAGAGCGCCGCGAGCCGGAAAGCTTGCGCGGTGGCGGATTCCACTTCGCCAGGTGGCTGGGCTCGCAGCAGCGGCTGGTGTCGCGCGGACGGTCAGTGAGAAAAAGACACCCAGCCAGGTCCCCACATACCCCACGCGCACACACGCTGGGCCTCCCGGCCACGTCTCACCGGGCCCCCGCCACACACGTCCCCGAACTCACACTCACGCCTACTCCGCGCTCCACCCCCACCCCCACGCAGAGCTCACCTTGCCGCGCTCACCCCTGTGCCCACCCTCAGCGGCACACGCGCTCACACCCGCGTCCGCACACTCCGCCACCTCCAGGCACACCCTAAGATTCCTCCAGTCGCCCCGGGAGCCTCACCAGGATCTGCCTCCCCTCCCCGGCCCCTGCCCCCGCTCACGCGCGCGCCCCTCTAGACACACACACACACACGCACACACACACACACGCACTCACACCCTTGCGCGGGGAGTCACTCCCCCTCACACGCCCTGGGCACCCTTCCGCGGCGAGCCTCGGGGTCCTCCCCATCTCGCTCTCTGCTGCCTGGCGGCCCCGCGCTCCCGAGTCGGGCCTGAGCCGCTCTCCGGCGGGGATCGGTCGGGAGCCCAGGGCGCAGTCTCGCAGCCTCCCCCGGACTGTTCTCTCCGCCCCGCCCGCGCCGCGCCCCCGCCGCCTCCCCCTTCAGGAGAGGGACCTCTCCAGGCAGCCCGCGGCCCGCCGGGCTCCGCTCCGCGCGGCGCCGGCAGCGGCGGGGGCAGGGAGCGAGCGAGGGAGCCGCGAGCCCGCGAGCCCGCGAGCGGAGCGGCGAGGCGGGGAGGGGACGCGCGGCGGAACCGGGGCTGGGGTGGCGGGGGAGGGAGGGGCCCACGGACAGACGGACGCACCAGCGGACGGAGCGAGGGAGGGAGCAAGACTTCGCCTGCGAGGAGGAGGCGGCTGCTGGGCGCTCCCCCGCGCTGCTGGGCGCTCGGCGCCTCCGCGGCCCCCGGTCGGAGCTCCCTCGCGCGCGCGGGGCGCGGGGCCCGGACTTGCTTCGCGGAAGGTAAGAGGAACGCGACCGAGCCTTCTGGAGCCAGGAAGTGTAAGGAGCGCGGCTCCCACGCCTGTTGCTCCAGCTGCCCACGCGGCATCCTCCCACTCCCGAGCCCGGGTGGGTGGGCGCCCGGGCGCCGGAAGGGTTGGGGGTGGGGCCGGCACCGCGGGGGAGCAGGCAGCCGGCCCGGGGGCGTCGGTTCCCTCGGGCTGCGGAGCCACCTCTTGGCAGCCGAGCGAGAGGAGGCTGGGGGCTGGGGGTGTGAACCTCTGCCCTCGTTCCATTGGCCTGCCCTCCCTCGGGGTGCCGGAGGCAGCGCCCCGGGATCCGGCGGCGGGCGGCGGCGGCGCCTTGCTCGGTCCCCCCGCTCTTTGTGGGAAGAGGAGAGAGATGGCTGAGGTCGGAAGCAGGGAGCAGTTCGGGGCGCTTCGCAAAGTTCTCCAGCCCGGGGAGCCGGCGGGGAGCCCGCCGGAGGCTGGGGGCCGGCGCCGCGGGTCCCGCCCGACGCCGGGCTGCCCTGCGAGCTCCGGGGAAGGCCTCCGAGGGCCAGCGCGGCCCGGGCAGGGGTCAAAGGACTCACGTTGCGAGGTGTTTACACCCAGGATGGGGCGCGGAAGGGACTGGGCAGAGAAGTTACCTGGAACCGACCGAATTCCTGCACTTGCTTAGTGTTGACATTTGAATCGAGTCCAGGATGTCCTGCTTTTTTTTATCCCGGGCAGCCGTGACAGGTCAGCAACAGGCTGAGGTTCCGGACCTGGAATCTCAGAGCGAAGGCTCCGTTGTGTTGCTTGAGAGGGCGTCTGAACTTTCTCATGGTCCTAGGCACGACGCGGTCTGTTTATAAGACCCTGCAAGGGTTGCCATAGGATGCATGTGGGTATTTTGCGTGAATGTACATGGCGGTTACATTTACGCCTTATTTACTGTTTCTTAAAGGGCACCTGGGTGATTTATGTCTGTAGGAAGGGGGCCTGGGCGTGCTCAGATTCAGTGCAAAGTGTGTGTACATTTCCCCATGTGGACGTGTTGGCACACGGGCAGGAATCGATGTGCTTATCTTTCCTTGTCACTACTTGAATGCAACAAAATGCAAATACACAAGAGGCCCCCAGAGGAAGCAAGATTAGTAGCGTCTTTCCTTTTGCTGTTGAGGAGCCTGGAAATAAACACCAGTTCAGGAAAGTGCTCTGGTCAGCCTAGGAGTGGCACTGTGGGAGAAGGGGACCTGTGTGTGTGTCCCAGGCCTGCACCCCAACGATCTCAGCTTGGCACCCCGGCTGTCTCCTGCCCGCCCAAGCCCGCCCCGTGGGCACTGGACAGAGCTCCCCGCATCCTCAGGACCCTCCCCTCCCCGCCCCCCCAGACTGGTCCCACTGTGGGCTGGGCGATGTGATAGAAAATTGTGGAAAGTAAAAGTTCCCGGAGAGGCTCCTGGCCCCCAGCACTCTGCCGAGGTCGTCGAAGGGCAGACCTTGGTGATGTGACCTTTTCGCTGCCGGGAGCCTGTCCCCAGGTCAGGCGTCAGGCCCCAGGACAGGCTGCCTGCTCCGCGAGCTCTGCCCGCTGCCGGCCCCTGTCCTTCGCCAACAGAAGCTGTGAGACAGAGCCCACTTTTTACAGCAGGGGAGTTCGGTTTCCCTTTTCCAGGATTTTTTTTTTTTTTTTTTTTTGCGTTTGTCAGTCCAGCACTCACCTGTTTTGAACGGCTCTTCCCTGGCCTGCCCCCACCCCCATCTTTCCCACTGTCAAACTCTTCTGCCAAAAACAAAAATAGCTCCAGATTTTTCATTTGTAAGGCGTCCACGTCCTAGTAAAACCTTGGCATTTGAGGCGTGTGCCGTGCCATTGGCTGGAAATGGGGCCGCACCGTTGTGCCTGCTGGAGGAATCCGTACCCAGGTCGGCTCCAGGAGGTGCCGGTGCCCGCCGGGGGCCCGGGCCGCAGGGACGGCCGCCCAGCAGCCCTACTTGGGCCGGCCGTGCCTTCAGAGCCGTGTGGAGGGTGGCTGCGTGGCCCGGGGGCATGGTATCTGGTGGGGCCCGTTTCTAACCCTGGACACCCTCTGCCCGGGACACACACACACACACACACACACACACACACACACACACACAGAGTACCAGTAGGTAATTGCTCCTTTTTGGGGGAACCTTTTATCAGGGGGCTAGGGCTGGAGTCTTGAGAGCTGACCTGGCTCTTCCCTGCCCTTGTTTGGGAGGCTCGTCCTGCACTGGAGCACAGGGTCAAGGTTTGGCCTTGGGGCCAGAGGCCTCAGTGACAGGGAGGGGCTGTGTTTCCCTCCCCAGCTCCCCGTCGTTCACCTGAGAGCAGTCGGGAAAAGGCCCGTGGCCCTCAGAGGAGAGGCTGTTGGGGGTGGAGGAGCAAGGGGGTGGGCCCGGCTGGGCAGGGGCGGGACCGGGCGCTGGGTCTCGGGAGTGGAGGGGACGCGGCACCGGGAAGAAGGATGGAAGGACAGGCATCCCCCTCCCGGGTGCAGAGCTGCAGGGTCCTGCCCAAGCAGGGTGCCCCCTGGCTCAGCCTCCTCTTACTCTCTGCCGCTCAGACACCCTGAAGGCCCTGCCTCTCTGAGCTCCGTTCTGGGATAACGCAGGGCTGTTTAAGGGTGAGAGGTCGAGGGCCCCGACTCTGGGAACCTGGCCCCCTTTGCCCTCCAGGGGTGCAGGGGGTGGACCGGACCTCCCATAGCCTTGGGTTCTGAGTGATGCAGGCTCTGTGCCCTGTTCTGGGCACCAGCCTCATCACGAATTCCCAGAACTGCCTTTGCGGAGAAGAGGCTCCAGCTAACTCCATCCCCACAGCAACAAACCCAGATGCTCCGCTGCCCGCTTTGCACGGGCGACAGTTCCGAAGAGGTTTCACTGAGCCCTGAGCCACAGCCTGGGGGTCCCGGATCCAGCGGAACCAAGGTGGCCACCGCCATCGGGCTCCTTGTCACCTTCTTGTGCAGCTCTCTGATTTTACGGGGGGGGGAGGGGTGTGTGTGAGGATTCTCTGATTTTAGGGGGGGGGGGTGAGGCCCAGAGGGCGAAGGGGACTTACTTTCACACGTTCACGCGGAACTGGAGCTGGCACGCAGGGCTTCCTGAGCCCGAGCTCTTGGCCACCCGGGATGGGGGGAGTGGAGCCCCTGCACCCCGCTCTCTCCTGGGGGAGCGTCAGGACCCGGCCACTCCTCGGTCGGGAACGCCATTTGGCGGTGAGCTGACCGATGGCCTATTGGGAAACCGTCAACCCCTGGACGCCCGGACCTGAGCCACTTAGAAGGGAACTTCTGAGTCTCGGTCTCCTCACCTGAACCACGTGGGTGGAAATGCCCACGTCAGAGAATTTTTGAGGAGGTAAATGAAATGTGAGTCATGGAAGCGGCCACGACAGGACCCAGGGCGTGGTCGGGGCCCAGTCAGTGTTAACCGAGTCGGGGCCGGAGTCGTCTGTGGCTGAGGCGGGCGTCGGGGCTCGCTGCCCAGACTCCTTGCCCCTGGGTCACCCAGCCCAGTGTGTGCTGAGGGCGACCCAGGCCCCCTGCAGGCCGAGGGAAGAGTAGGGAGCGACCGGGCGCCTTTCTGGAGGGTGGGAAACGCACATGGCCTGTCCCCAAGCCTCCCAGCAGGGGCAGGTGGGTCGGCCGCTGCCGTGGATGAACGACCCCGTCCTTCCCTCCGCTCCCGGAATCAGGCGCTCGTCAGTCCAGTGCCGTCTTCCTGACTCTCTCAGTGGTGACATTTATCGGGGGTGACCCTGTCATTCCTGTGGTCTTCTCTGGCATCCGAATCAACCTCCCTCTATGAGGGAGCAGAGGCACCTGTGAACATTCTCTTTTGCATGCAGATGGGGAAACTGAGGCAGGGGTTGGCGCCTTGGGAAACCCGGCTGAGGGCACAGTCGGCCAGAGGCACGTCAGTGGCATTCTTTAGGTCCAGATGCGTCCTCAGAGTTTACTGTCGTCGGCTTGGAGAGGTCACGCCCACCTCCGAAAACCCCTGGAAGACACCAGCAAGGCAGGGAGTGGAGCCCACAGCGCACACGGCGGCGTCTGTGACAGCGGCTGGCGGCTGGAGCCCACGGCCCGAGCGACCAGGGACGGCTGCGCTGGGTCATCCAGTGATGGTGGAGGCGGCCTGGCCTTCGCCCCGAAGGAGCTGGTGTGGACGGGGAAAGCAGGGCGGTGGCCGGGCCAAGCCCCTGAGCTCCACGTGACACTGCCTGGGCTTACACCTCTCTGCCCACTTGTGACATCAGTTAGTACGTCTCCTCCTGCCTTGTCTTCCTCATCTGCAAAGCGGGGGCAACGGCAGTGGCTGTTGGTGGGGTCGGCTGAGATGGCGCAGGTGGGCATGGGGCGCCGTGCCGGCACGCGGTCGGGCCTCAGGAAGCCTTCGCCGCTGTGGTTCTCCTCCCAGGGGGACGCGGAGGAGAGGCGGGCCCCGGGGCCGCACTGCTGTGAGGTGGGCTCGGGCCGCCTGCCGGCGGTGGGGCACCTGTTCAGCCCCTTCTGGGCCCCTGAGTGCGTCCCTGGCTCTTCCCCCCAGGGCTGCTGTGAGCGCGGTCCTCGGGGAGCAGCGCAGCGCCCGGCCTGCGGCAGCTGCTCGGGTACTGCTCGCCATGGTTATTGGTAAGACACGCCGAAAGCATCTGTAATCTTGGCCAGAGGGCGATGGATGCTAGAAAAGAGGGGCGAACAGGGCTGGGAGCCAAAGGAGGCAAGAGTGTCGTGGTGGGGAGCACCGCCGCGAGGGTGTGGGCCTGGTGGGGCTCTAAAGGGACGGCTAAAGGGGGACGATGCTGCCGAGAGAGGGGAGAGGGCCCGGAGACCGAGCCCCAGGAGGCCTGTCTGGGAGCCGGCCTGTGACCTCGCTGCTGGAGGCTCGGTTGGGCGCATGGGACGTGGGGCCGGAGTGACGAGCTAGGATCCGACTGTGGAAATGCTGGGAGGTTGGGCCGAGGAGTGTGGGTGTGATTTTGTAGGTTGTGGGGCAACGCACCACCAGAACTGTGCCTTAGGGAGATGACTCTGAGCAGGATGGATTTCTGGGGACCAGGAGAGAAACGGGCTTGGGGGTCAGTGAAGACCAGCAGGCCCGGGGGGAGAGGGCCTGAGGGCGCTGGGGCCTTAACGGGGGCAGTAAGAACCATGGTCTCATTATTTGGCCACTCTGTGGGTGAAGCAATGACGAAGGTGGCCAGGGTGACAGGCCTGGGGTCAGGGATGCCCGGAGCAAAGGGGGAAGAGCAGCTTCCGACAAGGAGGGAGATCTGGTTCATCCTGTCCCATTTCACTGGCTTCCGGGGGGGACCGGCCAGCGGCAGCGCAGCAGGGAGGGGAGGTGGAGGTCTGGACACCGTGTTCGGGCTGGGAGTCAGGAGGAAAGCAGATTGACAAGCAGAGGCAAAGCCCCAACCCCATCAGAAGACTCCCTCCTGCCTGGTTGCTGTAAACACAGAGCCGACGCAGCTGCGTCGTTTCAGAGGGTCCCGAGATTCTGAGTCAGGGCTGCTTCTGAGTGATCAGTTTAGGGTTCGTGAACGCCGGCGTGCAAACCCCAAACAGTTTCCCGTCGCCGCTACGTGCGTTTCTGTGTCACCACATGTCTCTCTGCAGATGGTGTGCATTTGGGGATTGCAGAGTCATCTCACTATCGTCTTTAAAAAGCCAGATCCGGGAAGGTAAATCTGTTTCCCAAAGCCAAATATAATTCTCTGCGCCATCGTGCCCTCCGTCCAGGCAGGCGGCGGGAGCTATGTGCGCGGGGCAGCTGAGAGAGCGGTGGGCCTGGCCCCGGTGGGGGGAGCCGCTGGGGGTGGGCTGGGCCAGGTGAAGGAGGCTGGGGGGTGGGGGGAGCGTGTTGTTACATAACCCGAGGGAGCGAAGGCTGGTGGGCAGATGGAGACGGGAGGCGAGGCATGTGGAGACGGCAGTGAGCGCGGATCCGCTTCCTCGGGGAGGGGGAGGGACAATGCATGGAAGGCAGGTGACCAAGAACCAAGAGTCCCTTTACAGGGAGGGGAAGGGACGCTGCCAGCCTCCCAGCCTTTCCCGCGTCTTTCTGTCATGGCTCTGAGGGTGGCCGCTGCACCCCAGGTTGCTGGGTGTCCCAGAGAGTAGCGCTCCACTGGGGACAGGCTTCTCCGTCAGACCTGGGGACAGAGCCCCACCAGGCCCCAGGCCCACCGGAGCCCCCTGCCGTCTCAGAACTTTCCAGGCCTGGGCGAGCCCAGCCTCCTCCTCCCCGGTGAGAAGTCGAAAGAATGTGTTTACCTGGTCTCCTGCATCCACACCCCACTCCTGATTACCCTGGTGGGTGAAGAGTGAAATAAAAATTAGCATGTTTATCCCACTTTGAAATTCGTTTAATGAGAACTCATTTACCCTCTCCCAATTTTAACTCGTAATAATGCCATAACCTTTCAGAGCTGATTATTTCCTGGGCCTTCTCACGTCTTCCTGCTGAAGGGGCTTCCCCTCCACGTGCCCCTGAGCCCTCCCGGAACCTGACAATCCGGCAGGCAGTCAGCAACACCTGGTGACCCTACCCGGCCACACTGCTCGGTGACAGGTGCCCTCCTACAGAGGAGGAGAGAAGAGATTCCAGTCCTCTGTCCCGGGTGGGGATTTCAGTTTAATTCGTTTGCGTGCAAGACAGCGGTTGTTTCCCCCACTAGGGACCCTCCCCTGTGCCCCGGGACCCACCTGGATGTCAATCACAGACTCACCCAGTTCTCTGCTCTCTCCTCCTGTCCCCAGGGGTCGCTGAACTAAGTGCAAGCTGGTGTGCACAGTGTCCGCGCAGGCGCCGGCCCGAGAGCTGGAGTCACCATGGCGGCAGGAGTGGCAGCCTGGCTGCCTTTTGCGCGGGCGGCGGCCATCGGCTGGATGCCGGTGGCCAACTGCCCCATGCCCCTGGCCCCGGCCGACAAGAACAAGCGGCAGGACGAACTGATCGTGCTCAACGTGAGCGGGCGCAGGTTCCAGACCTGGCGGACCACGCTGGAGCGCTACCCGGACACGCTGCTGGGCAGCACGGAGAAGGAGTTCTTCTTCAACGAGGACACCAAGGAGTACTTCTTCGACCGGGACCCCGAGGTGTTCCGCTGCGTGCTCAACTTCTACCGCACCGGGAAGCTGCACTACCCGCGCTACGAGTGCATCTCGGCCTACGACGACGAGCTGGCCTTCTACGGCATCTTGCCCGAGATCATCGGCGACTGCTGCTACGAGGAATACAAGGACCGCAAGCGGGAGAACGCCGAGCGGCTCATGGACGACAACGACTCGGAGAACAACCAGGAGTCCATGCCCTCGCTCAGCTTCCGCCAGACCATGTGGCGGGCCTTCGAGAACCCGCACACCAGCACGCTGGCCTTGGTCTTCTACTACGTGACCGGCTTCTTCATCGCCGTCTCGGTCATCACCAACGTGGTGGAGACGGTGCCCTGCGGCACGGTGCCCGGCAGCAAGGAGCTGCCGTGCGGCGAGCGCTACTCCGTGGCCTTCTTTTGCCTGGACACGGCCTGCGTCATGATCTTCACCGTGGAGTACCTGCTGCGGCTCTTCGCCGCGCCCAGCCGCTACCGCTTCATCCGCAGCGTCATGAGCATCATCGACGTGGTGGCCATCATGCCCTACTACATCGGCCTGGTCATGACCAACAACGAGGACGTGTCGGGCGCCTTCGTCACGCTGCGCGTCTTCCGCGTCTTCCGCATCTTCAAGTTCTCGCGCCACTCGCAGGGCCTGCGGATCCTGGGCTACACGCTCAAGAGCTGCGCCTCCGAGCTCGGCTTCCTCCTCTTCTCCCTCACCATGGCCATCATCATCTTCGCCACTGTGATGTTTTACGCCGAGAAGGGCTCCTCGGCCAGCAAGTTCACGAGCATCCCCGCCTCCTTTTGGTACACCATCGTCACCATGACCACGCTGGGGTAAGTGGGCGCTGGTGGCCGCGAGCGGGCCGGCTGGATGGGGCGGCGCAGCCCCGGAGGGTGTCAGGTGTGGGCCGAGGGGGGAGGGGTGGCTGTCCCATTCATGTGAGCAAGGGAGGTGGCCTCGTCCGAGACTCGTGACTGACTTGTCTGGAGGCTGTGGCTTGCTCCGAATTGAGCTTTCTTTTGGTGTGTTTTATAAAACTTAGAAAGTTAAGTCACTGTTTCTTTTTTCGGCCACGCATTCTGTGCATGTGTGTGGAGGGCGATCGCTGCGTTTTTATTCGCATCTGTGCATGGAAGGGAGAGAAAGGGGGCAGCGGGTGGGGAGGAGCACGTGGTGGCAGTCGGTGAGCGTTGCGAGGACGGCACAGGTTTCCACGAGCAGGAGACACTGAGAACACGCCTTTGGGACCTTTCCTGCATTTTCTGGGAGCCCCTCTGCAGGCTGGTCTCCCTCTTGCCTCTCGTCTTTCTGCTGTGCCAGGTGCTCAGGGGTCGGTCCAGCAGCCCCGAGCAGACTTTGTGTGAGTGACTGTGCACTTGGGTTTTCTGAAAAGCGGGGCACCCACTGTGTTTCTTCCTCTCGGAAGGGGGAGCAGTGCTGCTCGCTCTGCCTGACGCTCTGACCGGATGGCCTGGCCCACCTGGGTGCTAGGGAGGTGGTCTGAACGGACCAGGACGTGGGACACACAAGCAGCAGGACTGTCAAAGGGAGGGAGACGGACGCACTCAGCAAAGTCACAGGTGACTGTCTCCTACGCAGTGGCCAGCCCAGAGGTCCCATCTCCAGCTGAGGTCACAGAACAATAATTATGGGCTGAGATGGGAAACTTTCCATCCAGAGCAAGGGGCCCAGGAAGGAGATGACCATTTCCCCCTAACAGGATTAGCGCTGAGGAAGTCCGCTTTTGGGAAACGTGCATTTCCTAGGGTTTCTGCTTCAGCCGCTGCAAGTTGTTGAGGCTAATGCAAACGCCTTTCACAATTCATATGCTGGGTCTGTATTTGCTTAGGCCAGGAAGCGTTATTTTATTGCCGATGGAGAGTTCATGGAGCTTTTTATTTGGTCTTTGACAATTCGGTCGGTGGCATCCGGCGATGTGATCTTTCTCCTGGCCGAAGCCCTGTGGCTCTGGCCTGGGTTTTTCCGCAGTGCTGAGTGTGCTCGCTTACTGGGCATGACCGAGCAGGTGACGGGACCTCCGGACACGGTCACATCTGGCCCTGGCCACGTGGTTCAGTGTGCTGAAAGTCCAGAAAGGTTGCGGGTTTGATTCCCGGTCAGGGCACAGGCCTCGGTTACGGGTTTGGTCCCCAGTCGGGGCAACCGATCAATGTTTCTCTCTCACATCACTCTCTCTCTCTCTTTCAAATCAGTGAAGCATATCCTTGGGTGATGATAAAAAAAATAAGAAATGATTACGTTTGTCGTTCTGCCACACTGAAGGAAGTGGCAAGGGGGCGAGCAGGGGGTGTCACCGTCATTGGTGACGAAGGCCGCATCGGATGGGGCACTGCCTTCGCCTCTCGTCCGTCTGACGCAGGTCGTCCCGCCCCTCCTCCCACTCCGACACACACGCTGCTTCCGGCGGCTGCTCCCACCTGGAGCGGACAGAGTGTCTGGTCACCAGGCCTTGTTTCTCTGGGCTCAGGTCGCAGACGTGGGCCTGGGGGTGCCATGGACACCAGGGGTGAGAGGAGCTGGAGGGCGTGCCGCTGTGTCGGGAGAGGTGGGCGTGCCTGCCTCTTCCAGGCTGGCCCTGGCCATCCCTGCCCCCCCACACTTTCCTGAGGGGCCCTCGCCCCTGGCAGGGACCCGCCCGGCCACGCGTCTGACCGGTCCAGTGCTCTCAAGTCCCCCTGGACGGGATTCGTGAGACCAGAGCGACACCTCCGGCTGCCGCGGGAGAGAGCAGAGCTGAAGTGGCGTCATTTCGGAGGACAGCCACGGGGACTCGGGGGCCACCTGCCTGTCGCTGCACTGTGAGCACAGCCGCACGCATGTGTCCACTGTGCATCAGCGTGTGCTGGGCACTTGGCACGGGTCATCTGTGTGTTCACACAGCCCTGCTTCGGGTGCAAAAACTCATGTGCAGATGGGGAAGGTGAGGCTCAAGGAGGCTAAGTAACTCTCTGTGGCCGCAGCGCGGACAAGGGGCAGAGCTGCACCCTGCTCCCCACCTGTCTCCACCCACCAGGGCCCATAGCGGGGCTGGGATGGGACCTTCGGAGTCATTCCTTTGTTCTTATGGCCTCAGGGTGTCATCGTCCACCCTGAGGTGACAGGCCGCCCTGGTCACATCACTAGTCAAAAAGGCATCAGGGCCGTGAGTACGACACATCCGGCCCCGTGCCAGGCACACGGGGATTTTATGAATGAAACGTTTCCTTCTGACCCGTGGGAATACCGCCTTCCGGCGAATGGCTGCTTTCTCAGGAAAGTCCAGGCTCCTGCCGCTGCTGGGCAGACCACGGGCTTCCTTGAGCACTTCACCCTGCAGGTCAAGGCGCAAGTCCACCGTCAGGGACGGACAACATTGGCCTCACGCTCACTTTCTTGGGGGAGAGCAGCAAGACGGTGCCAGAGAGCGAGGGCAAGAGGCCAGGAAGGGGCTTGAGGGGCGCTCGTGCTCCCCCTGACTGCGGGCTGCGGCCTTTCCTTCCCCCAGGCGTCGGCACGTCTAGGAGGAGAAACCAGTGGGCAGGGAAGGAGGCCTTGGTGGTGTCTTCCTGAACCTCACAAGCAGGGGGAAAGCAGGCTTTTCCTTCCCTTCCACCCTGGCCAGTGTCATCCAGGGCTGGGCTGGCTGCTTTGACTTTGACCTGACTTGCCAGTTGGAACCATCACCCGGCTCACTACTCGGCTATACATAGCAGGTGTTGGCAAAGTGCTTTTGAAGGGACAAGGTGGTGTGAATGGGCCACCTTTTCTATGTGCTCGGTCTGATACTGTTCTTGGTGCCTGCCAGCCCTGCCTGTCCTCTCCCTAGGTGGACCCCAGGCCTGTGCTCTGCCCCAACCCCGGGCCCCCCGGGAGAGGGGAGAGAGCCTTCCCCTGGTGCCAGGTCTGTCCCCCGAGATGCTCTGCGGCATTGGAGGCCTTACCAACTCGACTGTGGGAAGGGTATCTGCCCCTCGCACGTTCACCGGCTGGGTGTAGGTCCATGGACCGTCCCAGAGAGCCTGTCCTTTTCTTACTGGTTGCCTGCCCCGTGGCCTCTGTCTCGTTGCTTCCAACAGCCCCCAGCAGACACTCAGTTCTCCTGCCCCCGGACCCTCCCCACCTGATCCTTCCCCGAGCTCCTTTTCCTGGTCTGGAAGGACGGTCTTCAGCCCCTTTGCAGAGCAGGGCTGACCCACAGGCCGAGGCCCATATGGCCAGTGAGGGGCTTGCCTCTTCCTGGCTCTGGTCGCCATCGCTCCCTGCTTCCCCAGGACTGGCGGATGAGTTCCTCAGGTGTCCCCCAGGGAGGGACCTCCTGGAGTCAATTATCCCCGTTTACTTAATAGCTCAACGTATCTCACGTTCCCAGAACACTAACAGCTCAACCACCACCAGGGCTTGTGGGTGGCTTCCTTCCGTAGCCTCCAGAGCTGGTGGGGGGGGGACCCCCTGGGCCTGGCCCGCGTGTCCCTTCTGCCCCCTGACAGTTGGGCTCCCCAATGCCCCATTAAAGGATTAATTTCTGTTCTCCTAATTGATGCTATAAATAAAACAAATCCTCATTTATCTCAGTTAACAGAGGGAAGGGATAAAGCAGAACTCCCAATATTAAATAGGACCAGCACATCTTATGTTGGGAATTAGTTTGGGAATGTATTATGTGCCATAGGTTTTTTCAAAGCCGATTTTCCTTCTTAACTTTGTTTGACTTTGCTTGGTGTCGCTCATGGCCTGGGGCCTGAGCTCCTTGGTGGGTGAGGCTCTGGGGGCAGGGTGGGGGGAGAGGGGAGCTCTCTGGAGGAAAGCCTTGTGAGCGGGCATCCACCAGGGGCCTCCGAGGGCCAGCTCCGGGCCCAGCTCTAGGCCCCGACGGGAGGAGGTCCTCTCAGATAACTTAGGGAGGGGAGCAGGGCTTGGGAAGGGCTCGGGGCAGCGTGGCTCCCGGTGAGATGGCCGCCTGGTTGGCTTGGTTATGTAATTAAGACCGGCAGCCTCTGTCACCCCGTGCCCTGTGACGAGAGCTTTGACAGTGTCCAAACATCACTTTCACGAAAAGAGAATCAATTGTCCTTCTTCCAAGCATGGAGCAGCCTTCGGGTGATTTGCATGTCCCTTGAAAACGCAGCCCTGGAAGGGCCTGGCCTGCGGCTCCAGGAAAGGTGGGGGCCGGCCGGAGATCAGTGCAGACACGGCACAGGGCAGGTGCTGGCCAGGCCCTGGGTGCAGACGGGGTGGGTGCAGACGGGGAGCCAGTCTGAGAGCTGCTGTGTTAACCCTTCAGTCCCCGGAATCCTGGCTGCACCCCCATCCACAGCCTCTGGGTCCCACCAACTCTCATCCCATCTCCCACGTACGTGTCTTGGCATGGAACACTGGTCAACAGTGTCCACCTGGACGCTGGCGGGTCCCCACGCAGGTCATCTGACCTTAGTGCCCTCACTGGGCAGGAATGACCCCGAGGTCCTTTCTCAGCCTGACATCTGCTAAGCTCTCTGGTGCTGGAATTCCTAACAGAGGGCACAGATCTGCATCCCAACAAGGAGTCGCCCTTTCACTCTGAGTTTCCTGAGAGCCTACTGTGCGCCGGGCAGCATGGCAGGCCCTGAGAACACACAGGCCCCGTGAGTGCACTGGAACTCCAGCGTGAAGCACAGACGAGATGAATTGAATGCGATCAGTTCTCTTCCTTTACAAAACAGGAGAGGGCGGATGAGCGGTAGACCGGGGGCAGAAAAGAGGCCGTTACCCACGCTCTTCCTGCCGCCCCAGGGACTGCCCTTGCTGCGCTTCCCGTCTGGCTGTCTCCCACCACCCTCAAAACTCAGCCCTCCAG